TTTTTTTTTTTTTTTTTTTTTTTTAACCCTTCACTCGAGATGTTTGCCTTGAAGTGTCAAAGAGACTCTAGAAGGATGTCTTTTTTTTCTGATTATAATCGATAAACTTGATTCCACCAATCCAGGCTCTAAACAAATTTCATATTCCCTTTTTTTTTGTTTCTTACCAAAAACTAAAACACTCGAATGTGTTTCCTTGACTTTTTTCTATCTCGAGTTAGGGAAAAAAAGGGAGTTTAGGGATAAGGGAACCTTGTGAAACGAGATAATGAAATCGACTGTCGGACGTGCTTGAAAACGGATTGTTCAAGGGGTTGGAAGGGGCAGAGGGGGTGAAAGAGGAGTTGACAGGAAGGAAGGATACATAGATTATGTTCGTAACTTGTGCTGCTCGAGTGTCTAAACTCTCTCTTCACGGTCGAAAACTTTAGCTGAATTTTCTCTTAACATTCTCTCTCTCTCTTTCTCTCGCACTCACTCTCTTTCTTTCTCTTTCTCTCAAGAGATTCGAGAAACTCGTATAATTCATAACATTGTTATAAACGTATTGCATCGTTTATTCAAATGACTCTTACTAAGTTGAAAAGAGATTTTTTGATAATAAATATTCAAATAATAATAGACGTTAATATTAATCATCAAAATTATAATAATTATGAAAATCAAATTAGATTAATATTGTCAATGATTTTTAATCAAAATCAATCCTAATCGTTCAATATAACAATTCACAATATTACGAAAATAAAGAAAACGTTTGATTGTAAAAATAAGAAGAATAATTAACGTTGCCTTTATGAATTATCTTTTAACTCGAGTTAGATGAGATTAAATTTGTCGAAAAATTTCATTAGTCAAAACTAAATTAGAGAATAGAGAGAAAAGAAAAGGAGTGCTGCTAGCTCGTTGTGGGAGTGCTAGTAGTTGGTGATGAGAGAGAAAAAGGAAAAAGGAGAAAAAGATTTATAAAATTTCTTTTTTATTAATATTATATTTTATATTATATTATTAACATAATATATTACTATTAAATATAATATATTATATTTATATGTAAAATATTAAATATATAAAATATTACATTTATAAAATTATAATAATATATAATATATAATAATATTATTTAATATATATATATAATAATATATTTTAAAATATATTTAATATAAAAAAATATATATTGTAAAAAGAAATATAAATTAAATTATTACAATTAAATAAGCATTTAAAATAGGAAGAAAAGAACTAAGAAAAAAAAATTAAAAAATAAAAAAAAACAAAAGAATGAAAAGAACAAGATAAAAGACTAGACAATGTTAAAAAGTGGAAATTCGTTTTTAAAATTGAATTCAATTCAAACCCATCCAACCACCCACCAACCCCACTCCTACCAGTTGTCGCGTAATGGAACAACCGATGCTTTTCGATTACTGTTGGTATCGATTATCTCTTTCTCTCTCACTCTTACGATCTTAATTAAATAGTATTCCACCGGTTAAGTTGTTAATCGCGAGTTTGCGCGAACGAGAATGAGAAGGGGGTGGGGGGGGGAGGAGGAGTTAGGGGCTTTTTCAAAATGCTATATTAACCTTGTTACTCTTTACTTTACTCGTCGTCTATCACACATGGTGACACGTTTCTCCAATGACCTTCACTGAACATCTTGTTCGATAATCGCTAGGCCACTCGCAAACAACGTTTAGATAGATAAATCGTCCGTGAAAAGGAACGAAACAGTAGAGATTAATCGACAGATTAAATAGAATCATCCATTTGTCTACCATAACTCGACCAACCATAACCCATCCTCCTCTTACCCCTACCTTTTCGTTTTGTCAAGGTAAAAGGAAAAGTAGAAGAAGATGATGATGATGATGATGATTTGATGATTAGAATGATATGATTAGATATGATGAAGATGAAAATGATGATTAAGAATTTAATGGCCGCTCACACAATATGTGTTTGATAAATATATATATTTATATATATTTTATATTATTTATTATATATATTTATGTTTTTTTTAAATTAATTCTTGAAAAATATTATTGAGCCCCTGACGACGTTTGACTGTATACACGTGCGCCCATTAAAGTGTTAACTTTAATGATAATGTTTCTTCTTTAACTTCATTATCCCTCCTCCCTCTCCAATGAATTTCTAACTTTTCTTTTTCTTTATTATTCTTATTAATTATAAACATTCGAATTGATTTTATTGTCGAATCGATCAATTATAATCTTTTTATTTTTATTAACCCTTTCGCTACCTAACCCTTACGTACGGGCTGCTAATACGTGCAGCATCGGAACTGTACTTTATTTTTAAGTAATTTTGTTGCTGACAGTAACAGTTTGCAATTGAAACAAACAAAACACTAAAATTGCACGTCCATAATGAGATATTTGATGTGCTATAACTACATATGTTCGTCGTATATAAAATACGTGATGGCATTTTACTACGGGCCACTATAGTGGCCTGTAGTAACGAAAGGGTTAACACATACTCTACTTATAGCTTAACACACACATTTGATGTAATAGTCCCTTTTGCATACCATTAACCCTAACATTTATAGATTTCCAACGAACACTGGTTGGTCCCCTCCACCCTTTCCAGATGTAAGAGAAAAAAAACTTGTGTGTTCACTTGGTCATGGTGTAGGAATTAAACAAACGTGTGGTTGCATAGACACATGGTAAATAGATAATACCATTACATCGAAAGTACCGTAATCTATAGCACCGTTCAACCATCCAACGAACGAACGAACGAACAAACGAAGAGGAAGTAGCTACAAAATGGAGTACAAGCTTAAAATAAAAATAGACAAACTGTATGGATGTGAGGTGGGGTGAGGGGGAAGGTAGTAGGTGTACCATAGAACAGGTAAATTGTGTTACGAGGAGTACAAAGAAAAAAAAAAGAAGAAAATTAATTCTTCAAGTTAAATAAAACACTACGATTAACATCGACATTATTTACTATTCCTCCTTAATTTATTATTCTATTTTTTCTTTTAAAAAATATTATATAATAAAAATATTTAGAAATGGTGTCAGGAATAAATAGATGGTTGATTGGTGACGGTCATGAAACAGTAATAGGTTTAAAAAAAAAAGAAAAAACATAGAAAGACAAAATAGAATTAGCATTTTGATAAAAAAAAAAAGAATGTAGTGGGGAAAGAGTAGTGGAGGGGGAAGGAAGGTGGTTGGTTATTAGCGGAAGAGGAAAGAAGAGAAGAGGAACGTGAATCCTCCCCACCCTCATCCCACCTTCTTCTCTCTTAACTCTACAGATCCATAAATATAATATATATAGATATTACACACACACACACGAACGTATAAAGAGACATTTAAAAACGTATAGATAAAGACGAAAAGATTGAAACGTGTGTGGAAAAATATATATGTGTATGTGTGCGTGTGCGTGTGTGTGTATTTTTGTGTATTAGAAATTTGTCTTCAGTTGGCGATATAGTTTGGGCCAAAGATTACTATGATGTGTCAAGAGAAAAGAGTAATACTAGTAGTAGTAGTAGTAGTAGTAGTAGTAGTAATAGTAATAGTAGTAGTAGTAGTAGTAGTAGTAGTAGTAGTAGGTAGATCGCATGCGGCTTGCATGTGCCGCCTCTTGAAACAACGCTTGCGCACTGTTCAAAGTTTCGGCAAGCAGGCAGACAAGCAGACAGGCAGGCAGGCAGGCAGACACCAGCTCGCAGCTACGGGTGCATCTCGCGGCAGTTCGCGGTCGCCTTTTAAAGAAACCTCATTAACTATCTATCAGTTGCTTTTGATATATATAGATATATATATCTCTCTGTCTCTGTCTCTGTCTCTGTACAGCATCAAAGCAACCCAACCGCGACACCGCGACTGGAAAATTTATTTTTCTAATCTTTTTTTTTAATCCTCATTCGTAACACGACAACAACAACAACAACAACAAAAACAACAAGAATCAAAATAAGAAGAAAAAGAAGACGAAGAAGAAGATAAAAGACAATATCAATTCTTCGATTGGATCTGTTACGAATCTTCCCCCCCCCCCAACCACCCCCCTCATCTTTTCTATTCGTGCATAATATCTATTTTCAATAATTTTTCATTTAAACAAGTTTTATTGTTTTTTTTTTTTAATTTTCTTTTTTTTTTTATTGTAATATAATAATCTTTTACTTTATTTTTGTCCACTTGCCAAATATAATTTATTTGTCTTTCTACTTTTTCTCAATTATTTATACTTTTTTTTTTCTTCTTCTGGTTTTTCATAAAAGATTTTAATGAAGCATTAAACGTTTGAGATTGTCTTATAATGTAAACTTGTTTAATTAATCGAACAAATATATATGAAATTGAAGAATAGAAAATAGATTTTTTGAAGTTTGGATTGGAGAACATCGTTGCACACGTGCGAGTTAAAAACTTTGCGAAGAAGGGGAGTCGTCGAACTCGCGTACAAACCAAATCGAATGTCACAGACTAATAAATTGGATATGATCAAGAACAAGTGATCCTATATTATCTAATAGCTGATATATCATCGGGTTTTTTTTTTTTTCATTCTAATTGTTCAGAATGATATATACGTTTTTGCTAATCGTCCTGTGAGTGAAATTTGACGATTGATTATCCTAAAAACGAAAAAGAAAACAAAAAAAAAGAGGAAGATACAGAAGATTGTCTTCTACATTTGTTTCGTTTTGTTTTGTTTTGTTTGTTTGTTTTGTTCATCTTCATCTTTTTCTCGCAAGAGGAAAAAGAAAAATTGATCGAAAGAGAAAACATAGAGAGTGGGTGGTGGGTGAAGAAGAAAAGTTGTAAAACTCACACGCTCTCTCTCTCTCTCTCTCTCTCTCTCTCTCGTAGTAAAATAATAAAAAATAAAAAATAAAATAAAAGAAATAGAGAACGTGGTTTCGAATAAATTGTGTGGGCGACACGAGGTGAAACGAGGTCGTCGACCACACAAGAGAGAGAGATGCGTTTCTCGATGAGGAAGAAAAACTGTTAGAACTAAAGGAAAAAAAAAAAAAGAAAAAAAATATAACATTTTTAAGGGGGTGTTTAAAACAAGAAATTTTCCCTAAGATAAGAGAATATTCTTATAGAAGAAATTAAAAAAAAAAAAAAAATAGAAACAGATAAAAAAAATTGGTGTGTGAAGGATCTAATGGTCGAGATACAATTTCGACGTTCAACGTTAAAATTTCCATCGATGCTGCAACCACCCTCTCCGCTGATGGAGATGGCGTCCCTGCGTTTACCGGACTCAGAAGAGTTCGACGTTGACACTCGTCGTAGAAGTAACAACGATAACATGTTACCAACTACGATAGCTACCTCATCACCAAGTATAGGTGGTGGTGCTGGTAGTAGTAGTAGTAGTAGTAATACATTTCAACAGATCAAAAATGATCTTGGTGATTATTTGAATTTGTTGGTCGAGGCTATTACGACTAATCCTAGGGGTGTTGTTGATCCCACATCTATGATAGATGAACAAACTGGATTATTCAACGCTAGTAAAACACCGAATATTTCAACGACGATCGAACAATTACCTGATCGACTTTACAGGCACAGCATGGCCATGTCTGCTGTTTATTGCGTAGCATACGTTTTAGTATTTGTCGTTGGCCTAATTGGCAACAGTTTTGTCATAGCGGTCGTTTACCGATCACCAAGGATGAGGACCGTTACCAATTTCTTTATCGTCAATCTCGCAGTAGCCGATGTCTTGGTCATCGTATTTTGTTTACCAGCCACTTTGATGAGCAACATTTTTGTCCGTAAGTACTTCAACAACTTTCTATATTTTTTATTTTATATATATATAGACACACATACATACATACATATAGAGGGAAAAAAGCAACTTTGATTTTTGATCCTTCTCCAACTATTTCACGCAACGATATATAATACATCTACACGTACACCTATATATAATACGTGAATCGTTCTATCTCGTCTCGCATAACTTCTCAACGTTCCAAAGGCGTTCCAAAGGGTCGTTTAACTTTGCCAAGGATAAAAAGAAAAAAAAAGAAAAAAAAGAACTTGGAGAACGTTGCTCTAGCACAGGAAGCTACTTACTACTTCCTTCTAAGATTTATATTATAATAACGTAGAACAGGAAACCCCAACGAAAAATTTATTACAAAAGTGTTGGAGTATATTTCCTGTTTCGTACCAAAGTACTACGAGAGTTCATTTTTTTTCTTTTTATTTTTCTTTTCCCTTTTGCAAAAAGAATCTCGTTCAATCGTTTAAAGTATTTTTCACGGAAAGGGAAAGGAAAAGGGAAAAGGACGTTCTTTGAAGTGCAACGATCGTGTGTGTGATACGTTGGCCAAACAAACCGTTGTGCACTTTTAAATTGCATAGTGGTCCTCCCTATCATTTTGTCGACGGTTTCTCGTTCTCTCTCTCTCTCTCTCTCTCTGACGAGTTGTTGAGGGCAGGGGTGTGAAGGGTGCACGTAGCTTTGGAGGGGATCCCTTGGTACTTCGAAATCGATTCTTCCGTGACGCCCTGCAGCACGATATTCGCGGAACCATTCAAATTATTATTACAATATTTTCTTGCACAAGGTTTTTATTAATTTCAATTAAATTTTGTTTTTTAATGTTAATTAATTAATAATCGAATCTTTACGATTTTTCTAACATTTTTTTTATGTCTTCATTAAATTAATAATTAAATCAGAACAAACATGGAAACAACGGTAATAGAAAAAAGGTGTTTTAGTTTAATTTATTTTATATATTTTGTATATAATTATATATAATGTATGATTATATATTTATTAATTATATATTTTATTTATATATTATTTTATATATAAAATATTATTATATATTATTTTATATATAAAATATTATTATACATAACTCTCATTTAATCATAATTAATTCTATCAAACAAATGACACATTTGTAAATAATTCTTACAAATCAAATAACANTATTTATATATTATTTTATATATAAAATATTATTATATATTATTTTATATATAAAATATTATTATATATTATTTTATATATAAAATATTATTATATAATATTTTATATATATATATATAATATATAATATATTTTGAATATGAAAATAGTTTTTATATATTTTATTACCAAATACCCGAACGATCCTAATACTAGCCCGAGCTTTTTAAAAATAATCAATAATTTGATAGTCAAAAATGGGGCTTGTAGGGGAAAGTGTTAAGATAAATTCGTGATATGGGGTAAGTACTACCCCCGAATCCCTGAGAGGGAAAGAAAATCGTTGAGGAAGAATATATGCACTTTCCCGTGTCCCATTTTTCAACCAAGGACACCGTGAAAATGATTTTTTTATTACAAACACGATATACGGGTATAAATATATCCTACATATATTTTCTTTTTTATTTAATAGTCCTCTATCTCTCTTTTCTTGTATCGTATAATATTCTTTGTATTATCATAATAATAATAATAATAATTATTATTATTATTATTCATCGTTATCATTTATATTAATCATTAACGTCATTCTTTATTTCTACGTCAATATCATCAAAAATTTGACATATTATTTTAGGTACACAGTGTACAAATATATTACAAAGAGGTTGTTGTTCAAATATTTAATATAAAATTAATAATAACAATAATAATAATAATAATAATAATAATAATAAAATGATAGAAAATATTTTTTTTTTAATCGAATAAATGAAATATCGATTTTATTTTTTATTTAAACGGACCTTTTTACATCGAAAAATCATTTACGATATTTTTTATTTATTTAAATAAATACGTTATTTTAAATTATTCATATACATTTGACGTTGTGTATTTCTCAATTATTTACATAGTTACAAGTAATTCATTTTGTTAAAGACAAAGTTTTAATATAGGAAGATAGGAACGGTTTCTTTTTTGTCACCGAAGTACCAATATGAAGACACGAAACATTTTTATGACGTACTTCCATTTCCTGGTGATTCTCATTTTATTACCCACCCATCCCTCATCCACGTGGTTAGCGATCGTGGTTCGTCAGGTTAACTCAGGTTCACGCAGTGTCACGCAGAGTATCATCTCATACCAAACTACATTTTTCTTCGTTTAATACGCCTCGTACGATGAACTATCATCAACAAATTTTTTCTCTTTTGACTAAAACACATAGACTCGATGGAATTTGAAAAAAAAAAGGAAAAAAAAAATAAGAAAATTGTATTTGCCAAAATCGATTAACGAAATTATTTGTACTCTGATCAAAAACGAGTCGTTTGATTCCACAATTTTTTCCTTATCTTTATTTTCTGATCTTATCTTTCAAACAGATACGAAAATATAATATTTCTACCAATACGTTAATGCATAAAATGTTTCGATTTATTTCACATAATACTACTACTAATATTACTCGAATAAAATTCCTAACTCTTTCCCCCTTACCTCCCCCCATACGCACATTTTTATCATACTTTCTACACTCGGAAACTTTCTGTCTGTCTTATTTTGCTATTTCGATTATCTTTATTTTAAATATTTGTGGGTTTAAAAGAACGATTACCTATATAATTAATATATATATTAAATGAATAAATACATAATAATTAAATAAATTATTAAATATATAATATATAAAAATAATATTATAATGTATTAATTATATTATATATTATAATACTACAAATTACGATTGTATAATTAATATATAATATATATCAAAATAATACTATAATATATTAATTATATTATATAGTATAATATTATAAATGACGATTGTATTATATATTATTAATATTATAAATAACGAATTATATATTATATATTATATATTGTATATTATATATTATATATTAATAAATAACGATTGTATATAATTATTATGTTTTTCCAATCTCTCTAATAAAATATTTGTTTCTTAACCCTTAGAGTGCTATAGACACACATATGCGTTTGATAAAAATTACTAACATTATCTTTTGACTTATATCCTTGTTTTTTAATAATAATGTAAAATAGTGTATAATGTTTATAATAATTAAATTAAATTATATTCCTAAACAAAAACATTAATTATTAAATATAATTTATTATTAAAATCTAGTTTAATAATAAATTATTCCGTTCTTACAAAACATTTTAGTTAAAAGTATTCAACACTCAAAGGGTTAAGATTTAACCGTACAAAAGATTTGTCTTGTTCGTTGTAAATATATATATATATCAATGTTTCTTCATATTCATTCATTTTTTTTTATTTGTTGTCCGTGAAACGTTATAAACAAGTATTTTCCTTTCAATTAAGAGACAAAGAAATAAAAAATGGACAAATACTAGTGTTAATATTGACGACTTGGTAAATACGTGTTATGAGAGAGAAAACACTGCTGCATGTGCATTTTTACTCAAGTGGTCTGTGTTGTGTCTCTGGGTATTATTGAAATAAAAAAAAAAAAAAAAAATAGCAAAAAAATAGTTTCGTAAGAGAATATTTACGAAGCCATGTACACACACATACACACACACACACTCATTGGCGAGGCTAAATTCTACCGGTTATTCATCATTTATGTCATCTCATTCATCAAACAATTCGACGTACGATTCTGACCTATTATTAAACTTCCATATTCATTTTTTTTTATTTTTTATTTCTTTTTCTTTTCCTTTTTTTTAATTGTCAATATAAATAAACGTCTAAACAATCATAATTGTATTTTTAATTTTGTTTATTAAATATACGACTATTTATATCATCAAGAATTTCTTTTGGGTGAATAATCCTCATATCTTTTTTTTGCCAATGAAATAAGAGACGGGAGGGAGGGGGGGAGGAGGGACGGAGGAGGAGCAGCGGATAGATGAAAATATTTTCCTTAATTTTTTATCGTTGAACGATAAACGTGAGTTCTCTTTATAATATGAGAATATTGGGATCGTCCATATAAATCGGAATGTTGGTACTGCATGGCAATGCCATACATTGCCATGCATGCATGCAATAATCCTTAGATAATATTTCTAACGCGTTTTTTTTTCCTTTATTTATTTATTTATTTTCTATCATTCATTGTTTTATTTTAATTTGATTTTAATCGATTTGATTTTATTTTTCATCTTCTTGTTTTCCGCACAACACAAGCAACAACACTTTATTTTACTCTCTTAGGCTAACTGTTCGGTTTTTGTTTCTTTTTTTGTAATCGATTATAACATAAGTACGTTAAAAAAAAAAAAATTAATTAACACGCGAGTCTTGTTACAATTGCGAAACGTACAAGTTGATATATTATTTGATAAAAGTCAATTGCAATCGAACGAATAAATAAAATGAAGGCAGCCGTAATTCGACGTGGTGAAGCGATAAAGAACAAAAAGAAAAAGAAGAAAAAAAAAAGAAAAAGAAAAAACAAGGCTAAAAATTAAGTTCGTGTTACGTCAATTGCGATGTGTGGTTCTTCGCTTTAAAGTGACAGGTTAATCGTGAAACGTAACGAAAGAAGCGTGACACCGTTTGTTACGGTAAAACTACTACTACTACTATTACTACTACTAGTAGTCCTACCTTCGTTCCACCTAAAGCAAATCGATTCTAGGCGTGCTGTAGTTTCATTTATTTACTCCTCTTTCTCTCTCTCTCTCTCTCTCTCTCTCTCTCTTTCTGTCTACGACTATTCGTTCGAGGGGTCAAAGGGGGAATGGGTGGGATCGTCGTTTTCAATTCACCATACTTTGATTAGAAACTAAACGACGACTAAATAATACCGTGTCCATTCTTTT